CATATTTATTGTATCCTGCAGCTTTGATTGGCAGTATCTAATATGCCTATAAAATCCAGAGTTGCTTCTGTATTCTAATTACGAATGAAACAGCAGGAATGGGCAGGCAGTATAGTGTTGCTCTAACCATACTTGCCTTAGGGAACTGTGCTTTACAACTGTGCTTGGGGAATGTGCCTTGGGGAACCTGTCTCAGAGAACTCTGCCTTGGGGAACTGTGCTCAATTCTATTTTGTTGCCATTACTACTACTATTGATGCAGACATCTGAAGGTGGCATTAAATCTCTGGATGCATCCATTGGTCATTCCAGATTATTTCATCAAGTGAAAATGTCATCCACTTGGCCTAGCCTTTAGTACATTTGTCCTCTCTGCCTGGTTTGAGTCCCTTCTACCTTCTGATAACAGAATCCTGGCTTTCCTTCGGAAACCATCTCCCCTTCCTTCTAGTCTGGGTGGTTCAGATAGGCTGACTCCATCCTGAAGCTCCGGGAGTGAGCTGACATCCCAAAGTAGTAATGGCCATTTCTTTCAACCCTGAGCCACCCTGATGGCTCAGAGGTGGACAAGTGATCTAATAAGCCTGGCCAAGTCAGAAAAATTCCCTGAGACCACTTTGGTAGGAAATGGCTGGAAAAATCGTTCCTTGCTTCCTGCTGGGTTATAGCTTGGAGCTTTGCCAGTGCTTTGCATAAAGGAAAGCCAGCACAGAGAAAGGCAGCTAGACCTGCAGTGAGACTGGTTATTGAAGAGAATTTTTGGACTCTAGAATCCAGGTTTATCTCATCTACACATCAGTCAAAGTAAATGCTACTCTCTATTTCAAAGTGTTATTATGATGAATGTGTCAATATTTATAAAAGACCAATATATTTCATAAGGAAATGAAGTAATTACCATTTTAATTAAGCCACTTTGAGGTTTTTTTTTTTTTTTTTTTTTAACTGACTGTACTGACTGCTTGAGTTATCTTTCTAACCAGAAGGGCTTTTCAACTTGAATTTAATTTCTCTCTTCATTCGATTCAACATTTTTATTGATCATTTTTCCAGCATTGTAACACAGGAATGAAATTAGGTGCCATAGATACAAAGACAATTGATACAGAATCTGCTACCTTCTAACTCTCAACACCATACAGGAGATGAATGTACAAATAGAAGATTTTAGAAGAGCCTGGTGAATACCATAACAAACTATGCACAAAGTATTAGAGGCAAGGATGAGTATCTCGTACAGCTCTTACAGGTTAACGAGTGGGTTTGTGAGAGATGTTACAGAGGTTTTCCTACAAGACGTGCTTACTTATGTGAATTTTAAAGGCTGGAGAGTTTTCCAGTAGGTGGGACAACACTGAGGAATGGAAAATGGTCCAGTAGGAGACAATCAAGCAATCAAAGGCATAAAAATTGGAAAGTGCATGGAAGTCCTAGAAGCAGTAAGTGACTCAGGTAGATGGAGTTCATCCTGTGGGCAGGGAGAGGAGAGTAAATGAGGCAGGAGGGGAGATCAGGATTCCACATGGGAGGCCATGTGCCTGTAGGATCTTGCTTGTCTGTCAGTTTGGATGTTGCCATCACTGCAAAGCTTTCACCTGTGCCTCATGTTGTTTTCATCTCCCTTGTGGACAGATTCCTTTATTGACTATCTACCATAGGGAGAGTGGGAAGTCAAGAGTAACCTACAGGTTCAAGGCATATGTAGAAAATAAGGGATGGTGGATGTTAAATTCAAAAGACATTTACAAGATGCATACAATATAAAAGGGATTGTGATCAGTTTTGTAAAAGATAGTGGATAAAGACAAAACTTCAAACATGAAATTCTTCTTTGATACTTAGCTTGCACACTTCCTTCTGTAACATTGCTAGTCTACTAGTTCTGCAGTAAAGACATCCTGATGATTTCAACAATCTATAACTATTTAAGTATATTGGAAATAACACCAAGCACCATCTAATATATAGATGTGAACATCATTCCAAAACTTTAAAAAATTAGCTTTTAGTATAAGCTTTATGTTTGCCTTTTCTTAAGACTGTTGTTTATACTTTTGTGGAAAATATTGAGTAATTAAGTTACATTATGCTCATATCATGTAATCCAAGAAATACAGGAATGCCAAAATTACAAAATAATGTGTCAGAAAAAATACAGCAAATAAGCAAACATCTCAATGGAAACATTTTTACCATACTAGATGATTATACTGGTCACTATGATGACTCCAGTATCATGGAAGTACAATGTAGGAAGTTGAGATGAGTTATAAACCACAGCAAACATATCACACACAGTATGTGAATACATAGTTCAACTAGGACAGTTACAAATCATCCTAAAAAACTTTGATGATCAGAAAATGACTTCTGTAATGTTTTAACATTTTGAAATGTTTTTATTCATTCTTTGTGACTCATCTATGTTCTCTTTGGAAAGACAAATATGTTTTATGCAATTGCTGGGTAAATTCCCAATATATGTCAGTCAAACCAAGTTGGTTAATTATGTTGCTTAACTCTTCTGTACTGCCACTGAATGTGTACTGCTTTGCATATTAAGTGTTGAAAGAGTTTCTTAGAATCCGTAACTATGATTATACATCTTTCTATTGCTCTTTTATGAACACTTCATTTTGCTTTATGTGTGTGTGTGAATTTTTTTTTTCTTTTAGAGACAGGGCCTTGCTCTGTCACCCTGACTGCAGTGAGGTGGCACGATCATAGCTCACTGCAGCCTCCAACTCCTGGGCTCAATTGATTATCCCACCTCAGCCTCACAAATAGTTTATGTATTTTGATAATGTTTTTCTAAGTTCATAAGAGCTTGGGAACGTTTGTCTCTTGTTGAGTTAACCCCTTTTTATTTTAAACCATCTTTTCTTATCTCCAAGACTATTTCTTTCCTTAAGGCATAATATATTAATTAAGCCTTCATTAGTATATCAATTTTCAATAAATATACTTATTATTTATATGAATAGTGTATTAATAGTTTTTAAGAAATAAATATATTAATATATCCAGGTCAGGTTTCAATATATTAATATATCCAAGTCAGCCCATTTTTATATGATATAACACTATTAATTATTTTCATTTCTAGAAACCTGGTGCCCAATTTGTTTTCACTTTTAATGTCTTTTTATAACTGACACATAATTACTGTACATGTTGATGGCGTACATAGTAATGTTTCTGTATATAATGTATACAGATCAGATCAGAGTAATTAACATATCCATCATTTCAAACATTTATCCTTTATTTGTGTGGGAACTTTTGATATCCTTCTTGCTGTTTGAAACTATATATTACATTTAACTATAGTCATTCTGCAGTGGTATAAAACACTAGGACTTTATCCTCCCATACAGGTATAATTCAAAGTGTGTCTCTTTCAAGAAGCATAAACATGTCATATTTATGTAGTCTGATAATGTTTGACTTTTAATTGCAGTGTTTATTCTGTTTAAATTTACTAGAATTCTTAATATAGTTGTATCTAAGTCTACTATCTGCTATTGTATTTGTCCTATCTCTTGAAAAATAAACTTTTAAATTTGGAATAAGTTTTGATTCACAAAAAATTTGTGTGATCACCGAGAGTTTCTACATCTGACCTTTAGCTCAGTGTCCCCTAATGTTGACATCTTACATAATTGTAGTACATTTGACAAAACTAATAAATTAACATTGGTACATTGCTGTTAACTAAACTCTTGTCTTTATTCACATTTCATCAATTTTCCAGTAGTGTCCTTTTTTCTCTTCTAGGATCTAATTCAACATACCACATTGTATTTAGTCCCCACATCACTTTTGTCTCCTCAAATCTGTGACAAGTTATTGGTTTTGTCTTGTTTTCCACGACCCTGGCAGTGTTTAAGAGTACTTATGAGGAGCTTTGTAAAACATCCCTCAGTTCAGATATTTATGATGTCTTTGTTATGATTATATGAAGGTTATGCATTTTCTGGAAGCACTTAAACGGAGTGGAAGTGCCCTTCCATCACGTTATATCAGGGGATGAGTGATACTCACATGCCATAACTGGTGACAGTAACCTTGATCACTTGGTGAAGATTGTCTGCCAAATTTCTCCACTGTAATTGTTTTCCCTTTTTCTTAATTTTTTCTTTGGAATCCAGTCACTAAGTTTAGTTACACACACTTGGAGAGGGGAATTACGCTTCACCTTCAGGAAGGAAGAGACTATACTCATATTATCAGCAATTCTTCTGTAAAGCTGTGTCTCTTCTGCCCTTGATCCTTGTGTTGGCTTATTCTTGCATTTCTGTCTTCTTTTGTATTAGTCGGATATTTTCTATTATACCATTTTATGTCCGTTTCAGATTAAGTCCAAAATTTTGCATTTTCCTTTGAGTTGTTGCCTTACAAATTACAATATTTGTTCTTGCTACAATTTTTGCTTAATACTTTCTCTAACAATTGAAAAGACATGTTAGAGTCTAAACCCATTTATCTCCCAACCTGTCTTTCGTGCTATTTTTGTGGTATATTTTACATTAGAGTATCTCAATAGGTCTTTATTATTCTTTAAATATCACAATTTTTTTTAGTTCTAAGCAGAATCAACTTTTCTACCTTTTGTCCCCAACCTCATTAAACGGAAAAGAATTGCGCAAGTGTTTGAAAAACCGCTTCTGAAAGCATCTAGCAGATTTAGCAGAGGCCCATGTTAAAATATCAATAACATTCAAAAGTTTGTAAAGAACTAATTTTGAATAACAAATTGGTCAGTGTGAAAAACAGCTATATGTTATATAAAATTAGAATTATCAAAGTAGTTGGGGGGTAGTGTGTACTTTCTAAAAGCATGAGATAGTCCGTTTTGAGTAAGAGAAATATAAGGGAAATGCCAGCTAGAAGCAGGCACAGATTTAGATAGAATCTGCAGTCTAACTGTGTAACACCTTGGGCGCCTGGGAAGAACTAAAGGTCAAGAAGAAGTTTTTGAAAAACCACATAAGCACTTCTTTCATAAAACTTTTATTATCATGTCATTTGTAAAAATGTAACAGTAATGGTAACTTCGTTTTTCCAAGGCAAAGAGAAACTCTGCAGAATGGACATTAAACAAGGCATTATGCCTTACAAGCGAGACATAAAATGTCAAGGGAAACTTCAGCATAAAAATGTTGAACACATAATGTGAGATAATTTCAATACATAACAACTGACATTCTTCTTTAAAAAAAGTATAAAAATACAGATGTGCACATACATTCCCTTACCCTAACAGTGATCCACTCATTGCTTACATTCCAAACCCCACCCTCCAATTCCCCAACCTATCATTTATCAAGGTGCCTAACACGTTATGGTCTCCCACTAAATAGTAGTTTAATGACACATTTAAAACCCATCATATTTCAATTAAATAATCAGGACTGAGCTATGTTTGATGAAACACACTCATATCTTTAAATAACAACATGTAAAATATTAAAATACAAGCTTTCATAAATAAATAAGTACATAAATAAGTAGAACCCTCATTAGAAATAGTCAAACACATTAAGTCCTTTCCAGGTGTCCCTAGAAAGCAACTGTTCTCTTTTTCATTTTCAGCTCTGGTAAGGGCAGGGACCATCCTGCAGGAAGTGTCAATGTTAGACTGATAACTTTCTTACTTCACTCCTGTCAGTCGGTGCTCCCCCTGTGATGAGAAAAGGGTTACTGTTGCAAGTGCTAAGGAAGGCTGCTCTTCTGTCACTCTGGTGGCTGAAGTTGCTTGGAGGGATGTCCCCATGCAGACTCTCACCCAGCCCTCCACTCAGGGAAGGTCTGCCTGTACCCACTGCCCTCTATAGCAGAAAACTTGCACTCCTGAATACTGCTTTTTTTTTTTTTTTTTTCAAGAAAGAGGTGGCTGTGGACTCAACTAGATTCTTGGTTTGAAAAGCCAAAACATATTGGTCACTGTCACATTGGGTTAGAAATTTCCATTCATGATCTCCCTTAAGCTGCACACAACCCTATGAAATAACTATCATTATCTACCCTATTTTGCTAAAGCTCAAAGAGATTAAATAAGGTTGACAGGGCTCCTAGCCTTGAACTCACTGGGGGTGTCACTGCAAAGTTTCTGCTCTTCACCAAGAAGACTGAGAGGCCAGAAGTGGCCAAATCAGACATTGCATTTTTAGGTCTGAAGCCCTTAGGGACTGAGGTAAACATCCTCTCCAAACAGGCAGGGGGCATTTTAGCATTGTCAGTCAAATCTATTTGGTATTCTAGAAAGGCACATTTACCCTCACTTATTTCAGTAGGGGTTAGGCCTGGGAATGGAGGGCACTGAAACACGGAAATATCCTCTGAGTCAGAGCAGACTAGTAACCTTAATGGCAACTTTAATTGTGAAAATAATAATTACAATTTCTAGTCCTTCAGCTAACTCCTGGGTTGCCCCGATTTTATTTTTAGGGGACAGATGCCAGTATTTCTGACCAACGGTCCAGTCGCCTGTGTACATGGAAATTACAACTCACTTGTTCAGTATCTTTTCGATGATTTTCTGAACCATGGGGGATGCGGGATTGAGACAAGCTTTCTGCCCATTCTTGAGTGTGGCTCTGCAGAGAGAAGGGAATTTCATGAGGCAGGAGGTCGGGCTGGGCACAGGGTTTGGGGCAGCGGGAGAGTCGGGGACCCCGGCGGTGACAGCGGCAGCGCGGGGAGGAACTTACATGACTTCGGTTTCGGCGCAGTGGGGTCCTGGGGCCTTCACAATCACACTTTGGATGTTCTTGGGGTGAATTCCCTGCAGGGTCTGCAAGCACTGGCAGCGCAGTTCAGTGGCCACGGGCGCTCCTAGGGAAGAACAGACTCACTGATTGAGCGGGGCTGTTGGCGCGGGGCGCCCACCCCAGCAGCGTCCGACCCGGGGACCCCAGCGGGACGGGACCCACCTGTTGCCCGCCTTCCGGTGGCCACCAGGAGCAGGAGCAGCAGCGCCACCCGCAGGAGCCGGGGATTGCTGGGGGCTGCGGAGAGCGCGGCGCGGGCCATGGGGCTCAGCAGACGGATCGGGAGGCTGTGCGAGAAGCGGGAGAGCTGGCGGGGAGGTGCCTGCGACCCGGGCTCTGTGGCTTCCCCAGATCGGCGAACCCTTTTTATGCATGCTTGAGGCTGGAAAGCCCGAAGCAGCCGGGTCAGGGAAATTCCCAGAGCTCCAGATCGATCCCGAGTCCTGAAGGAAGGCGACGGCCCCGCCCCCGGGGTAGAGTGTGGTACCGGTAGGGTGAGCCCACTGGTGACGACTGAACCTCTCCCTCCAGAGTAACTCCCGTGGACTCTGGGACTTTGTGATATTCACTTTCTGCCCCAAATTCCTGGAGGGGCAGTGAGGAAACCTCGCTGGAGACACAGCCTGTGAGGGGGACCTTAGCTCCCTGATGACCCCCGCTTATGGGGTAGGGTTGGAGGAAAGAGCTGGGGGGACCAGTGAGAACCAGGACAAGAAAGGCACGACTTCTTTAGAGGAAGAGAGCTTTGTTTCCTCAGTTATCAGATTTGCTGGGGACCCGGAGATAGGCGAGTTTTACCTCAGCTATCCTCTCTCCGTATAGTGTATCCTCTATGTTAACCTCCCTGTCTCTGCCTCTCTCATTTTCGGTTTAGAGTATTTCATGTACATCTAACATGAATGTTCTCTGTGAAAGTACAGCCATCATCTCAGATTCCAGAGAAGAATGTTCTGCTTGTTCCTTTTTTGCATGTGCTCTAATCACACTTAGAACATCTTCTTTACGTCCTCCATTTGGTGGCAACAGATTATCAGTGTCAAAAGTTGAATCCAGTATTACTGTCAGTGGAAGCCAGGGCTGTATAGCATGACCTCTTCTTTAGTTTCCTGCATAACTTCCTTTCTCCCTCTGAAATGTTGGAACTTCTTAAATCCCTTGGAGATCTTCTCCCTGTGGGAGGGATTCAGATTCGATCTAGAAATATGACACTGGCTGTCACTCTGAAGCTGTGGAGGGGCAGGGTCCAGCAGGCTCATGAGTTCAATGTTTCTGGTTCTGTCTTTGCAAATGACACTGGAGAGTTGGTATCTGGTGTGCAAGCACCATTCCCACTGGAGAAGCAAACAGCTGCCTGCTGATGACATTTAAACACCAGATCACACAAAAAATCACATTCCAATTGCTATAGAACTTTCTGGTCTTCAGTGATGTGCCCTCTTTCTCTGGAAACATTAACAGGGCTCCATTTTTTCTGGTCTGGAATTTCAGTCTTTTAACCTGACACCTTTGTCCCTTTTTCAACAGTTTTAGATAATTAATTTTGAAATGTCATTAGGTTTTAGAGGGTTTAAGTGTTGTTCTACAAGTTGCTCTCAGACGTCTCTGAGATGTGCAGTAGGATGGAGAAGAGGAGACAGGAGTGGCAGCTGCTTGAAGCACAGGGCTCTACACAGCCCAGCTCCAGGGGTAAGAGGCCTTGCCCCTAACCACAGAGCATGCAACTCTGCTGCCCGTATTTAGTTGCAGAGTATCACCTACAAGTTGTTAAACCTCTCTGTGCCTAACCCAAGGTGGTTATGAGAAACTAGTTAACATTTGTAAGGGACATCATGGATTAAGTGCCTTATTAATGGTTGTCAAATAAATGAAATGGACTATTTTCATTTTCAAAACACTATTTCTTTCCTGACATTTCCTAAACTAAAACTCAACCTGCTATGAATTCTGCAAAGGAAAAAGAAGAATCTAATGGAAAGTTTTACTCCCCAGTGTTTTTCATGTTTAAAATTTTCTGTATCCCTTACTGCCATCCAACTGTCCTTAACTGTCCGTAACTGATATAAAGCAGTGTGAGTCCTTAAGAAATCAAAGCAGAACCTAGAAAGAAGAATGTTCATATAAACACCACAATCCCAGTTTCCAAAATGGTCTTGTAGTTACTGGTGCTCACAGGTATCTGTGATGTCCTTACAATAATCTTGGACAAAGGATAGAAAGGTGTGCTAAAACATCCTGTTACTTTAAAATAGACACTATAGGTAATATCTATGCTCCATTCTCTTTCAGTGATTTCCTCTCTCACATCTTGCTGACTACTTAAATTCCTTGAAAGAAAGGTTAGATACAGAAAAAAACATTCACCCAGTGGAGGCCAAAATACAGTATCCCAAATGTCTTCTGCAGTTTCAAGCTGTAATAAATGCTGCAAACTTATAAATGAAAAATAAAGTTCAGTTAGGAATTTTTAAAAAATAAAAAAGTTAAATGTTTTTAATTTAGGAAGGCTTTCAGAAAGGAAGACAAGTCTGCACTTTATTAGGAGATGCACTTAGATGGGGGGACATTTTTTTTGTTGAGATGGATCGTTGATTTATTTTGTAGACTTTCAATCACTTCATCTATAAAAAAGGAGTTTGAATAAAAAACTTATCTTATTTATCGGAAAAGATGTACAACACAAAGGACCTATAAAGATACTTGAGTATGAGCCTAAGAGAAAAACCAAGAAAATTAAAGGGAAATTCAAATGTGTATTTGAAAGCAGGAAATGACATATAACCTAAAGGTTAGAAAACATGTGACTAGCTCATGTATAATTGAAAGTTTGTGTAGTTACTCCTCTTGTTATCACTCTTTTTTTTTTTGGAGATTTGATGGAAAACTGCCCCAGAAATATGAAAATGGTTCTTTAAAACTTGAAAAACCTTTTGTTTTCTAATTGTTGTAATACATGTTCATTTTATAAAAACTAGAAAAATCAACAAGACATGAAGAGTTCATTTTCTCTAAATCTATTCACTTTTGTCTATGAAACAAACTTTAACAGGTCACTAAAAATTTGTTTTTCTTCAGAAAACATAAGGTAAATGATAAGAGCTCACAAGATTCTGGGTAAATATGGAACACACTGCTTTTTTATTTAGTAGCTTCATACTATGGGCAAGTTAATAAACCTCTGCACCACAGACAAGGGGCAAATAATTTATTTTATGCTCTTCTAAGCGTTTTGCAAATATTGACTCATTCAATCTTCCAAACAATACTGTGAAGTAGATATAAATTGTTATCGGTATGGAACTTAACGGTTACAAACAAAGGAAATGAGGTTCAGAGATATTAAGTCACTTGCTTAACTTCACACATCCTTGCGGCTGGAAATCAAACCCAGAGAAAATGACTCTTAACCATTAAACTATGGTAAAAATGCACTATGGTATATAATTAGTACTTTAAAGGAAAGGAAGGATTTTTTAAAATGTATTTGTTTTTAACCTAGTTGAATGGCTTAAATTTACATATTTTAAAATGAAAATAAATCTATATGATAATCTATCTTTGTAGTTTTGTTTCACTAACTGTGTAACTCTCTCCTGTGGCATTGATACAGCTCATTATCTTCACTTAAGGTGCCCAATTCTGAAGAATAAAATAATCACTTTTCCAAGCAGAAAGCTGACAAACTACTTCTTTAAAAAAATGATGAAGGCAAACATCTTCAGTGTGATATCATATGGATATCATGTACCGGCTTGATATGATGTCATAAGAATTGCATAAGCAGGATGCCTCTTTGGTACGACTTCCAAAAATTCATCACCCAAATCTAGTCATGATAAAAAACCTTCTTCAAACTCATGCTGAAGAGTCTTAAAGCTCATCAGTGTTCTTCAAAACTATCAAGGTCATGAAACAATAAAAGACTGAAAAAGCATCACAGTCCAGAGGAAACTGGAGACGTGACAACTCATTGCTGTGTGGTAGTTTGGATAGGATCCTGGGACAGAAAGAAGACGTTAATGAAAAAACTGGTGAAACGCAACTCAGTCTGGAGTTTAGTTAAAAGTAACGTGTCATTGGTGGTTTCTTAGCTTTGACAGGTGTTCCGTGGTGTTGTAAATGGTTCACTGTCGAGGAAGCAGGATGAAGGACACACAGACACTGTATGATCTTTGCCATGTTTGTGAATTGAAAATTGTTCCAAAAAAAGTTCATTTATTTCTAAGTTTATTTTTCTAAATCCATTTAGAATACCACCAAAAAGAAATTACAGCACGTGCAAGTTTTACCTGCTAGCTTTCTAGACAGGAAATTGAATTTTTATTTAGTATATATTTGTTCAAATATGAAAATTCAAAATATCTGGTGCCACAGTTTGGACAGTTCATCATGATTCATAGAGTTAAATACTTTTCCTTCAACATTATGTTGTCCAGATCTCTCCTCTAGTTCTAATAACTGAAGAAAATAAGAAAGTGTTTGCTATCATGGTCTCCAGACCCAACACAAGAAGAGCGCCAAGAGAATAAAGCAAATGAAACATGTCAAGACCCAGTGGACGTTTGCAGGGTATGCAGAACTTGACTCCTGAGGAAAATGTCATCAAAATCACTTGTTTTTGTAAATGAAGTATAAAGCAGAGGATTTGTTGGTAGTGGTGCTGGTGGTGTTTTTCCCTACATGCCACTTGTATCAATGAGATCTTCATAAGCCAAAGCTTATAACGCTGTTGACTACAAAAATAAATTGTCTCGTTAGAAAATAAATGTTTTCCCAAGTGTTTTCTCAAAAGTTGAATGCCAGGATTTTAGATCCAGTCTTCAGAACTATTCAAGCAACAATTTTTAAAGAAATGGAAGAAATCTTTAAAAAATAAAGCTTTTGGCTAAATTCCATTTGCCCCTGTAATATTATGGAACCTTACAAACTGGCATACAGTCAAATCCTTGGTGGCTCACATCTCCTAGGCCACCTGTTCTCCAGTCCTGCTACAGCACGAGTTGCCTGCAGCTGTCACCTGGAAACTCCTTGCCTCAGTGAACCAGGTGTCTTTCACTTTCTGGCCCAGTGTTTCTCTGTTGCTGCCAGGAATCATCCCTTTCACAAGAGGAACTGGAGTCAATGGATAAATGTTTCCACATTTGCAAGTTTTGTCAGAAATTCTACACCATTTTTCAGAGGGTCCCCAGTAGAATTGACCTCCAGCTGCACCACGTCCTCTTTTCCTATTTTGTTCTTCCCAGCTTTCATCAAGTCCTCTGCATTGGTAATATGTCCCCAAATAAATGACCTGCAGTGGCAGGCTCATGACTCCAAACTCCTGCATTTTGGAGAAGTCTAAACTGAGGCACTGCTCCATCATGAGAAAATAACCATGCTCAAATAAGGAGGGCAACCCTGCTCGTGCCCCAAACTGACTTAGGAACTTCTTCCTCACAACGCCCGTCCCTATTTCC